TTTTTTACCTTATGATGGCAATCCTTCTGCCATTCAATACCCAGGCGCTCCAACTGTGGACCCAATGCAGCACAATCGTCGGAGACAACACATCGGATCTTCAACCCCCTCGACAGCAGGCCTCTCAACAGGCGCACAACAGCAGGAACCTCAAGTTGGTTCGACGCCTTTCCCTCATTTTTTGGCCGAAGAGTGTGAACACCCACCACAAGACGAGTATCACACTGAAGCGCGGTAACAGTGCAATGCTGTGCAGACCTGGCCGAGTCGTAGCGACCGTCAACCATCAAAGTGACGGGTCTCCCTGATCGCATAACCGCATAACCGTGTCAATGGCCAAGTCGCAATACCGCACGCTCTGCCTGACAACCTTTGCATTCCAACCTTCACGCACATTCGGCTCACCGCGCATGTAACTGTAAAAAGTGGGCTTGTGCACAGGTGCCACCCCAAACGCGATGCAGAAGTCATTGAGGACGGTATATGTCATACCCGCAGTGTCGGTTGCATGGAACAACTGCTGCTGAAGTCTGCAAGAGTACACAACTCCCCCAACCAGTGCACTGTGCCATGTCCAACGACAGGACTTATCACAAGCGAGCGAAATGTGACAAATCTGCCCAGGATAACCGACAGAGGACACATCCACAACACAACCGCCCCTGTAGCGCGGGCAACTCAAATCAAACAACCCGAGCAACTGCAGCAGCTTCACCGGCTCCACGAAGACGACATCAGGCGCTTTCGAGCCTTCCTAGTGCCCCATCGATTCCAACACATGTGCAGACCGATTATTGCAAGGTTTGGATTGCAGAGCACCATCCTTCGAATCATCCCAGCATAAAGGACGTATATGTTCGAAATGCGAACGCGACCTGCCACGTCTTGGTGGCCGCCCGCGCGATCTGCGGCCACACTGTGACTCGTGCCCTGAACGCAGTAGTGAATCATCCGACCCACAAAATGACCCGCCATTGCCTCCACCGCTCCCTTCACCCTCACGCTCGCCATCATCCTCAGCGTCCGCTGTCGAATCATCCCCTCCTGCTCCGAGACGAAAAACATCTGCACGGCTGCCGGCCGGTGGTGTTCTCTCGATCCTCGACGCCACCCCGTCCCCGAACTCAGACCGTATGGCTGACAATGACCAATGCAACAGTTGGTCGATGACATCGCTCATGATCCCAGACTTGTCGCTCACTTCTTTCATCGCAGATTGTAAAAGCCGCAGTCTCTCCTTGCAAGCGGTAGTTAGGAACAAACGAGAGTACTTCGCGGAACGAGTTGACTGCGAACCGAATTGGCCCAAAGACCCGCCCCAGTGTTCAGAACGCCCCGCACCAAGATTTTGAGCGCCAAGATCGCAACGGTCGGGCCCATTTCCGCTACCACACACATTGTCATTCTCGTCGAACAGGGAGACAAGAGAGCGACAGGCGGAATTACGGTCATGTGTGTCCCCGGCAGAGGCACGACGTGCATCATCCAATACACCCCCCTGCCCATGACCTGATGCGGCGAACGAATGTGAGACCCGCGGTTCTACACTCCGACGTCCTCCGTCACGCAGTGTGGACCCTCCACTTCCAAACACCGCTCCTGATGATTGAGAACACCCCTCTAGGGGGATGGAGTCCAACCCGCCGCGTCCAACGAAAAGTGGAGGAGGAAATGGCTGCGCAGCACACGACAGAAACTGCAAACGGCGAGGTTGCAATGGCGGCGACAGCACAGGAAAAAACAACGCATCGAAATCCGACAGAGGGTGTACTGGAGTGTATGGACGGCGCGCTGGAGACGACAACAAGGGCGGCAACGGAGAATGCACAACTGCAACGCCGGGAGTGATGACGACCGTAGGCGAAAGAGAGTGAACACGAGGCCTCTTTGTTGATCGCATGTCCGGCATGCGGTGACACCGGCGTGGCGTTGCCACTCGCACCCAAGTGGGTGGCCTTTCTGCTGACCTGCCATCATCCGGCGTGAAACTGGCTGGTGCGTCATCCATGACAGATGGGCGGCCCTCTCCCTCGCCGTGCGTGTGGTGTGTGGTGGACGGTGCAACGCCGACAACACAATCTCGAAAATGATGACCTGCCAAATGGCGAAAATAACAACGTCCGGTCCTATAATCAGCAAACAGTCATCGGATGACAGACTCAGTGACTTGCATTGTCACCAATGCATTGGAAAAGAGACTGATTTAGAGAAAGACTCACGAACTTCTTGACAGATTGACCTTCGGCCAGACCGCCTTACACACATCCGATTCAGCGAATGAGTGATCAACTTGATGGCATGTCAGAAACCCCGCACGACAAACCGAAGTCATTGGATTGATCGAATGATCGATTGAATGATTGACGTTTTCATATATATATATATATATATATCCTCTACATATATATATATACATATATATATATGTATATATATATATATATATCCTCTACATATATATATACATATATATATATATATATATATATATATATATATATATATAGAGAGAGAGAGAGAGAGAGAGAGAGAGAGAGAGAGAGAGAGA